TGAAAGAAGTGCCAATTAAAATAACAGTGAGATACTCTCTTTTTACCCATTTGACTAGAAAAGATCAAAAAGTGTTAGTGAAAATGTAGAAAGTCGATCTTATTTGGGGTCCTGATGAAAAACAACAGTGAAAAGACATTTTAGAGACAATCAGGAAAATTTTAATATGGTCTGAGCATTAGATAAAACCAAGGAGTTACTGAAAAGTTTATTGGCAGTAATAATGGTATTATGGTTATGTAAGAAAAAGTCCATTTTTATAGGGATATATATTGATGTAAGTTGAGATGAAATGACATGAAGTCTGGGGTTCACTTTAATAAAATAGCACCTCAAAGAAATCAACAGAAAGAGCTAGATAAATTAACAGTGGCAAAATCTTGGTAATTATTGAATCTGGTTGACGGATATGTGAGTTCATGGTTCTATGCTCTCTAGTTTGGTGTATGTTCGTAAACTTTCTTTAAAAAAATACAGTTTATAAGTAGTGTGAGGTATGAAGAAACAGGTACCTTCAGACACTATTGAAGGGTATAAATTTGTTACCACTGATCGGGATGGTAATTTAGAGGGTATTATCATGAAGACACCCCTAAATATGAATAGCTGAGTGGTCCTTTCAAATCAAAACAGTTCAACAAATACTATCACCTTTGTGAATATCAATGCACAGGCTCAAAAGATAAACCCCAAAATCTAGACACAGAGATGATTGAGGTGAAAAGGCAAGAAAGCTCCACACCCCAGAACACTGGCTCCGCCTCTCCAAACAAACCATCCTTAGGTGGTGGCTCCCAGACCCAAATGTACATCCAAGTTGCCCTAGGAAGCAACTGAAAAACTAGATTCCTGTGCCCCACCCCAGGCCTATTCACCCTGGATACCTAGAAGTGAGACGCAGGGATCTGTTTTTCAGGTGACAGGTGAGCAAGTTCCTGTCAGGCTTGGGAACCCCTCATGCAGACCCCTCTCTGCCTCCTCCAGATGCAGGTGTGGGACACCGCAGGCCAGGAGCGATTCCGGACCATCACCCAGAGCTACTATCGCAGTGCCCACGCAGCCATCATCGCCTATGACCTCACCCGGCAGTCCACGTTTGAGTCTATTCCCCACTGGATTCACGAAATAGAAAAATATGGAGCAGCAAACTTGGTCATTATGCTAATCGGTATGCCATTTTTAAAGCGTTTTGCTTTTCTTTGTTGGCCCCCTTTGCTGATACTCAGCTTTTTCTGTTTCCAATGGCCCTGGAACCTGAAATTATAGAAGTGCAAGTGGTAGACAGAACTCAGAAAGTGTCTGACCCCAAAATTCCCATCAGATTCACTTGAGAATAAGAGTGAGATGGTGTGAACTTGCTAAGAATACAGATTCCAAAGTCCCATCCTAGAGTTTCTCATTCCAAAGACCTGGGATTGGGGTCTAGACACCTGGAATGGGGACAGACATCTAGATGGAGGGTGATTCGATGCACACATTTGTGTAGATCAGAAAGGAGGTACTCTGTAGTCTGAGGTTCAGGGTCAGATGCCTGAATTCCCAGAGGGAGCTCCTCAGATGACTATGACTGGCTACCCTCGAATTACTTTTTACACCCAGTAACATAGACAGCAAATCTTAACAAACCAACATCAAATTAACAGCAACTTCAACCCCACAAAGGAAACTCACAGCTTGAAACGAGGCGCCCTATTGTGATTCAGAAAAGTGTGATGGGTCTGTCACTTCTCTACAGTATTAGCTTTGTGAGCAGAGCCGCCTTTCCTCCCTTCCAAGTACAGGACCGTTTACCAAGTGGCTGCTTAACTCTGGCAAAGTTGGTTTAGGCCCTTGCTACTCAAAGCATTGTCCAAGGACCAGCAGCGTCAGTTGGGGTTTGTTAAAAGTGCAAGATCTCTGGCCCCATCCTAGACCAACTACATTTAAATCATCATTTGATTTTAACAGGATCCTAAAGAGATCTGTATGCAAAGTAAGGTTTGCAGAGTGCAGATCTAAAGGACTATCTGTGAGACTGAGAAAAAGCAAAATGTACCATGTTTAATGGCTTATTCATCCAGTGATAAGCATATCCCAGCTCCCTGGCATCTCACCCTCTGAGCCTTAGTTTCCTCATCTATATGATGCAATTAATACTTAATGGAGTTGTAAAAATTTAATTTGATAATGTATATAAATCTCAGCAGTGCTTGGCACATAGTGAATGCTTAATAAAGGGTAGGATTTGTTTCTAGAAAGCTCATTTGAGGGACTAACTCATTTATGTTTCTCAAATGACTCGGGGCTTATGGTGAGGGTACAAGTCCTGGAACCTAGGAAAAGCCAGCGATCAAGCCCCAGCCAGAGCAGGAACAGTAGTGCAGCCAGGCCACAGCCAACAAGCAAGACCCTGGGCTGTCAGTGCCGGGCTCCCTGAACCAGTCTTCTGCGCTCTCTCCTGAATATGTTTCCTCTCGGAGAGCTGCTTCTCAATGCCAGATAACCTGTGCCTGCCTGTCTCTCCCCCTCCCACTCCCACATGAGTCTCTCAAAGCATCACCTGGCCTTCACCTCTCACAACCTCCCTCATTCTCTCAGCATCGGCAGACTCACATTTCTCAGAAAGGGAATCCCACAACCCCATTCCTTCTTTTCAGGCAAAGCCTGGTACAGGCACGTGGCCAGCATAAGGACAGGCAGGCCTGGGGCAAGGTGTGCACCCTGGACCAAGCATCTGGGCCCTGATGGAGGACGTAGCCACAGGATGGGAAGCCTGGCTATGGACGGGCTGTAAAAGAGACAATTGGCACATCTAGTCCATTTATTATCCACTGTGATTCCAGAAGGGACTTGTTATTTCAGAACCATCTTTATCCAAAGTATGTTGTTTTGATTCGTAGTCTAGCGCCCATCTTACACAGACTTGGAGAGAATGCTGCTTCGGAGCTCAATCTGCTTCTCTGAAGAATCAGTCATTCAGTGACTATAATGTGGCATGTGGTGGGGACTTGATAAAAGGGGGAATGTAGGGACCACAATGTTGTTCACATGAAACCTCAGCATAAGATTGTATATCAATGATACCTTGATAAAAACAAATAAAAATCAGAGTCATTGTGGGAGCCTGGACAGGACCTACCCCTCTTCCTCTGTGCCAGATCGAAAGCCCAGACCCCACAGTCTGCTGCCAGATGTAACCCCTTGGTTTTTTTCAGAGGGGCTGTGTGTTGCCCCACATGGAAGAAACCAGAAACAAGAGCACGAGGCTGGGCGGTGCTTCCACACAGAGGGCAGCTTGTCTCTTTTGGGAAAAGCAAGATGCCTCCCTTCTCCTTTGGTTTCTCACCTAAGGTCCCCTTTGGGACCTGAAACTTTTGTGATTTGACTCCTGATAGAAAGGACAGTTCTAATGGCAGAATTCAAAGTTATAAAAATAAACACTCACACTCACCTTGAAAAAAAAAGCCATATTTTTTCCTCAACAACTTGGGGAAGCCCCAAAGGAGGAAGCTCACCAAGGTGTCCAACGCCCTTCACAACAGCTGTTTCCTGATGAGCAGGGCCCCGCCCCTGAGGTCTGAGGAGCAGGGCAGGTGCTAGGAGGATGCTGATAACAGGGGACAGTCACTAAACAGTAGGTTCCAGGCATTTTTCTGAGTCCTCTCCTGGGTCCCCTTATGGAATCCTTTAGTACAGAAGCAAAGACTCCTATCCCATTTCCCAGGCGTCTGGAGGTTAAGTGTCCTTCCCAGGAAGTCAGCTGTCTTGCCAATGGGTTTCAGCCCCTGGCAAGTTCGCTATGGATTCAGTGGACCGAAGAAATGACAGTAGAAGGTTTCTTTGGGGCGAAAGGGTTTATTAGCCTGCTTGTTCTCCCGGCAGTAGGTGAAGCACTAGCGTCTCCGCCTCCGCCCAGAGCACTGGGCGAGCTCTCTGTATGGCGCAGTAGCTTATTGCCTACACGTGTGGAAGCGGCAGCCCAGCAACAGGCCAGTTACACCGTCAGGTGGTTTAAGCTCAGTGAGGATCCTGGCCATAGGAACCCCAACTTCCCCACCCCAGCCTTGCTGCCTACTGACAGGTGAGGCAGGACCTGAACTCAGCCACTGGTTCCCAGAGCCCCTAGTGGGATCAGTTCCTTTCCGACTATTTTCCAAGAGCTGGTTAGACAGTCAGTTACCCAGGGACCCTGAAGCTCTGGTTTAGGCAGCGTCTACTTCTACTCGAGTGCTTGGACTGTGGAGTCAGACAGATTTGGGTTCAAATCTCCCTCTCTGTCCTTTTTGATTGAAATTGGGCACATTCCTCTCTCTGAATTTCTACCTCTTCAGCTCTAAAATCACTACCTGCTTCAGAGGTATTGTTGAGTTGAAAGGGTTAAATAAGATACCATATGTAAGGCACTTAGTACAGTGCTAAGGCCTCAGTCAAGGGAAGACGCTAGTTCCTGGGAGAGAAAGAGGGGCTTGCCTGCTGTGTAGAGGGGCTCAGAGCACAGGGTGAAGGACATCTGTGACCTCACCGATGGCACTCCCAGAGAAGGGATGCACAGGTGTGATGAGCTTGCGCCTCACTGAGGCAAATGAAGGGCTCCAGTCACACTGGAGGTTTCCTCAGGAAGGCGGCTGCATCTCTTTCCCATTGAAGTCTCAGGCTTCCCAGGAAACACTGAAGCAGCTCTTCCTCAGGGCCTTGAAGCCCTCGGCGTGAAGCCGCCCCGCCTCCAGGGTCCCTGCCCCCTGAGCTGTCTTTGGAAGGCAGCACCCTTCCTGCCAGGTCGGCCTCCCTCGCTGGCTTTCCCCAGCAGACGCCAGCCTTAACTACCAATCACTTTGCCGCAGAAACAGGTGGGGCAGAGGAGGGTCACAAGCACCACGGTGGGGCGAGATTTCTAGGAATCTCTCACAGTTTTGTGGTATTTGCACACTAATCTGTCTTTCATAACAACTGTCTCTGCCTCACTTCTTAATTGGTTCTAGAAATGCTCCCCAAGATGATCTGGATGCATCCACAGTGTCCCAGTTCACGGATGTCCAGTTCTGAGGGCTGATGCAGTGGGTCTTCCTGTTTTCTCTCAGTGGCCTCCTCCCCTTACTCTAGAAAAGTCAAACGTGCTGTTCCCACACGAAGTGTCCCTGCCCCTTTCACTACATCCTCCATTCTGTCTCCACATTTCTTACACTGTGTCTCTCTCTCGCATGGATTTGCCCCCTCCCCTTCAACCCCTTCACCGCACACATGTCAAAGAGCTGACTGTTCTTTGATTTGCACCATTCCTCACCCCCTGCTGTCCTGGGAAGCCCAGCAACTCTGTAATGTCCCTCTGTTCAAAACCCTCCGTGCTCTCCCACTGCCCTCAAGATAATGCACAAATTCCTGACCACAACTGGCAAGCACCCTGCTGGCCCCCTGGAGCTGGCTGGCTTCTTTTTCTCATCCCCTGGGTAGTGTCTGACCTCCTAACTCTATGCTCTCCATCAGAGTAAGGGCTCAGGAGGCAACTCCCTTCTGCCGGCTATAGTGGATGCTCCGCCTTGTAACTTTCTTCAGCATCTGCTCTTTGTTCCCTTCTCATCTCAGGCAAACCTTGCACTGAAACTCCTGTTACATTTACAGGTTCACAGTCTCTCAGCAAAAACTCTTAGTGCCTAGGATTTCAGAGTTCAGAATCTTCCCGATCTTAGGTCATTCTACATGTTAGATCTCAGTGCCTGCCATGTGACATGACACCCTCAGCAGGGCCTGGGCCAACACCCCATGGTCAAATGCATTAACATTCATGCAATGAAATGTATGACTAGTCATACAAAGCAGGCTGAGAAAAATTTCAAATGGCCAGTTTAGGGCAGATTTTACTATCTGATGAATTAAAAATCTGATGGGTTTCAGTGGTTTTTGGATTTGGGAAACACAGATAAGGGATTGGTCACCTGTACTACTAAGAAAGTGTACCATTCACCTGGTCCTCAGCATATATTATTTTGTGGCCTGACTTGGATCGGTCACTTCTGTACAGCTATTTAATTGTCCACATGTTCCTTTTCCCTCTCTTGGGGCCCATGTCTCTGGGGGCCCAGTGCACACAGCACTTAGCAAGCAAGGACTCAGTTTGCAAGCAGCAAGCACCCACTTTCAGTCCCTTCTGCCAGGCGTCCTGGCTCATCCTGAGGTGTGTGGTCACCAGCTTTTGGGAGGTGAAGCAACTAGACAGTCAGTGCTGTTAACCGGCTGTGGCAATGGGGCAGGTAGGAGGGGCAGGTCGTAAAAGTCAGAACCAGTGTAATCCAGCCCAAAATCTGCAGATCAGAGTAAGGGATACAAGGGGCAGGTCAGACTGCTCCTCAGAGACTCCAACTCCTACAACATCTCTTCCCCACCTAAGGGCTCTTGTACCTTTCTTCTAGAAGCAGAGCTGGGCCTTGAGCTTAAAGCTCCCTCGCTATAAAAATGCGTACAGTTCTCTTGAAGGTATGTACCTGAATTCGTTCCCTCGGCTGCTGTAAAAGTTACCATAAACCGATGGCTTTGAAACAGCCGAAATTTGTTCTCTCTCCATTCTAGAGACTAGAAATCTGAACTTAGTACCACTGGGCTGAAATCAAGGTGTCAGCAGTGCCACGCTCATCCAGAGGCTCTGGGGGAGAAGCTGTTCCTTGCCTCTTCCAGCTTCTGGTGGTCGGCAGCATCCTTTAGCTGGTGGCTGCATCTCTCCAGGGCCTGCCTCCCTCTTCACATCACCTCCTCTGCTTGGGTGGTCTCCCTCTACCCCTTATAAGGATACATGTGGGTGCATTGGGGCCTACCCAGCTAATCCAGGATTAACTCCCCATCTCAGGATTCTTCACTTAATTACATCTGCAAAGACCCTTTTTCCAAATAAGGTCATGTTTACAGTTTCCAGAGGTTAGAACCTGGTTTACTGGGGGGTCACTGATCAGCCTACCACAGTACAGAAAGCAGTGATGTCCACTGAAAAGAATCTTGGAATAACCTTATTTGGGGATAAATATGATCTAAATCAAGCTTTGTCAATGAGCAAGTTGGTGACTGTGACACTGGGAAAGCATTCTTTTCAATCCTCTTTATTGGAACATATTAACACATATAAAGAAAAACACACAAAGATTTATTGCCAAGGGAACGCTTGTGTAAACTCCGCCAGGGTCAAGAAAGGGAATCTTGCCAGCACCCTCCCTCAAGCCCCCTGCAGGCCCCTCTCGGTACTCCCTCTCCTTCTCCCTCCACGGGAAGAACTATGGGACCTTTACAGTAATCACCCCCTTGCTTTTCTCAGTCATTTTACTACCTAAGCCCACATGCTAGATCCTGAAGTTTTATTTTGCTACTGTTTTTGAATATTAGATAAAAGGAATCATACAGAATGTCCTTTCTTGTCTAAACTTCTTTCCTTCAACATTGTTTATAAATTTGATCCACACTGTTGCATGTTGGTGTAATTTATTCTTTTGCATAATTTGTAGAGTATTTCCTTGCATGAATATGCTGCAAAGTAGCTCTTTCTGTTGGTGACAGACATTTGAGTTGTCAATCAGAAAAATCAGGAATGTTCTGAACATTCTTGTATGTTTATTGACATACACGGGTACTTGTTTCTGGCGGCTATGTACTTTGGAGCAGAACTGCAGCATCTTGCAACTCTTGATGGTCTTGTTACCGGCAGACACCAGAACAGGGGCCTTGGTCCTCATCTTCACAGAGTAAAAGGATTTTACTCTGAGACTTAGGACTCTGCAAGCAAGCAGTGCACTTTATTAGAAACACCCTGATAGACCAAGGTGGGCTGCTCAAGAGAGTCAACCCTGAGAAAAATCAGGGTAGCTCCCATTATGGGGAATGAAAATGTTATTAGGTCACCTAGCATAAGTAGGGAGGGAGGGCTTCAGTTAGCATATGTGCAGTTGGATTACATACATACATATATAGTGCTTCATCACCTGGGGTGGGGGGTAAATTTAGTATTATAATGATGAAGAGGCAACTATTGGACACCAAATTTTCCTTATGTGCATGTCATAAGTTGTTTGTGTTTTGGTCCATTGATTGTCCAAGAGGTCTCTAAACTTAGGACATGGCAGCTATTAAAACTTGTTAAAACAATTGGTTGACATGAAAAACAAGACCTATTGGAACCTTACAGAGCCAATGGTCCAAGTCACAGGCTCTTTGTCCGGACTTAGGAATGTGGGGAAAGACTGGTCTCTCCTTTTTTCCTCTGCCTATCTCAGTCTCAAACCACTGGCCAACGTGGTTGTTGGCCTGTGTACTCCCGCCAGCAGGGTAGGTGAGCTCTACGTTTCCGTATCCTCTCCCACGCTTGATTATCAGTCTTTTTAATTATATCCATCCTGATAAACATATTATGTTATCACTGGTGGTTTTAATTCTCATTTCTCTATGTATGAATGAGGTTAAATGCCTTTTCATACATTTGCTGTATTTGAATATTCTCTTTTGTAAAAAGCTTTCAATTTTCCCACCCATTTTTTCTACTTGCTATTTGTCTTTTTCTTATTGATTCCTAGGAGTAGCTTATGTTTTCTGGAAATGAGTCTATGTCAGTTCCAAGCCTCCAGGACCTCACTGAGCTGTATGTTTAAAGTCTGTGCATTTTATTGAATGTGAATTGTAGCTAGAACCTTCATTATTCATTCTGCACTATCAGTCCAGCAAATCCTGATCACAGTCTCCTCGCTAGGCCGGGCCCCACCTCATAGAATCCAGCACTTCATAGTCTGGGGAAAAAGAACAAAAAGAAGAACAAGACTTGAAAGAAGGAGAGAGAAGCCTAGGAGAGTCATTCTGGCACATTCTTTACCTTGTCAGACTCAGAAGGAATGACAGTCCTTCCTAAGAACACAGGGGCTCCACTTGTCGCAACCAATAAGCATCCCCCTTCCCCCCAGCCCCCCGCCATCCCTCACAATCCTGAAAGATCTTACAGAACAGTGAATTAAGAGGCTCCAATTCCATTCATTAGTGGTTTCATTTTCAGTAAAATTGCCCTCGATCACAATTTGTGAATGAATACATATGTGCATATCGCTGAACTAAAATGTTCTTTTCGGGGTTCACTTAAAAAAAAAAACTACATTAAAAAAAAAAACTACATTAAGTTACTCAGCAGAATACTCGCTTCTGTCTCACTCCCAGGGAACAAATGTGACATGTGGGAAAAGCGGCATGTTCTGTTTGAGGATGCTTGCACACTGGCTGAGAAGTACGGCCTCCTTGCTGTTTTGGAGACATCTGCCAAGGAGTCCAAGAACATAGACGAAGTCTTTGTGCTGATGGCCAGGGAGCTGATCGCCCGCAACAGCCTGCACTTGTGTGGGGAGAACGCCCTGAACAACCTCCCCCTGGATTCCAGTCCAGTTCTTATGGCTCAGGTTCCAAGTGAAAAGACCCAGTGCACATGTTAAATATGTTCATGAGGCCAGTTGCACCCCCCAGAGGCCATCTCTGAAACCAGAGGTATCTGCTGAGAAGCATCTCAGACCACAGCATAGACTAGCTGCTAGTCCTGAATCTTCCCCACCTCCGTTCACCCCAGCAGCCGTACTGCTGACTCTGAGGAAGGGGGCACCACTTGTGTTATGGGTCTTTCCTGGGACTTAAGGCTCGGGGGTAGTAGGACAAGGTTTGCTCTTTTTCATCTTTCCCTTTTCTGTCTCCTCAGCCCTTCAACTGTTTTCTACTGTATTTGACTTCTTGCTTGAAGAAGATGGTAGTGAAGGAAAGAGGAGGAATATCAAGACAGGGGAAAGGATGTTTGGAACATTCTGGAGCAGTTAAAAACAGCTCAGGCATGGGAGGATGGGAAAAGCCTGCAATGAGAAACCAGAATGCCGCTAATGTTTGCTTCCTGACATTCACACCTTGGGTCTTTCATTTGGGAGCAAAGCCTTTTGACATAAAGACCATAAATACTATCTTGCCAAATGGTCAGGAGCCATGTGATAGAGAGAGAATTACATTTCACTTTATCCTACTTGGGCTCCTATCCTACTTGGGCTCCTTTGAACACCCTCCTAGGATGCAGGAGACACATATAATCTCTTTCTAAAAACACCAAATTAGCTGTAGGATCAGAAGTCTTTCTGAATTGAAATGAAATTGGCTCATATATGACCATCAAACCAATACTGACCTCACCTTGTGGCCCTGGGCATGCCCTGTACCCTGCAGAACTTGTAAGTAATAAACCTTGTTTTCTCAAAGTTCCCTGAAGGTTGTTGCTGATGTGTGCCTTGCAATCATAGTAAGAACCACAAGGGCTGCTCCAGCCACAGCCTTGGCTCCCAAAGGGGTAATGTCTGTGGGAGCTCAGCTCGGACCCAGGCTAGTGCTGCCGGGCATTTCTAGCCAATAGCATCACTCTGGATAGGCTGAGACCAGCACAAAACAAATAGCCACTAGCCACAGATGGCTACTGAGTAGTTGAAATATGCTTAATTTGAATTTGAGATGAGCTCAGCACAAAAATAGTAATGTAACTTAGTAATAATTCTTATATTGATTATATGTTGAAGGGATATTTTAGATAGACTAGGTTAAATAGGTTAAATAAATATATTATTATTTCACCTGTTTCTTTTTAGTTTTATAATGTGGCTACTAGAAAGCTTTAAATTACTCATGTGGCTTATAGCAGGTATCTATTGGACAGTACAACAGAGCAATACTTCTGAAAGTGCAGTTCACCAACCACAGGCATGAGGGTGGCCAGGAATGCTTGTTACAGACTCCTGACACCCGGACCTGACGTACTACATCAGAACCTTTTCAGAAATCCACACTTCACCCAAACTTGCCAGGTGATTCTTCCCCACACTGAAACTTGAGAACTACTGCTACTGAGGACTTGAGAACTACATCCAGAGGTAGGTGAGGACAGGAGTAAGATCTGAGAATTAATTACACTTTAATTCCTTTCAATATATCTTTGTCATTGAAATGAAAAACCTACCTTTTGGAAACATGAGAGAAATCTAGTTATTTGCCAGAGAGAGTAAGTGCATAAATGAAAATGGTTAACCTTTTTCACATACATATTATTGTTCTAAAGAAAGGTTTATGCAAAGCAGGATCTCATAAGGCAGATGGGAAAATACCTGTATCAAGGTGCCAACAATCTTCAGAGGTGGCAATAAGCAGACAGCCATGTAGAAGGGTAAGGAAAATTGAGTGGATCAGGGGAGAGAGTGGGCACAGATGAAAGTGGCTGAGAATGAGGACTCTCACAAATTTGCCTCCATTTCTCTGCACACCAGTGTCGTCAATACCCTGAAAGTGTCATCAGCTTCTAGGACTATGCACTCTGGGGATTATCTGCAATTAAAATATTCCTACCAGCAGGTTGCACATGTGAGAACAAGCTCACCTGAACACCAGCAACCTGTAATTAACCAGCGTGGGCTTCTGTTGAAATTTAGTGCCAGGACAGCAACCCTCAAGGACAGTCGGAAGCGCGTCCAGAGTGGAGTGCGTGGCTGGGTGGGGGCACACAAGGTCTGCTCTGAAAAGACTTCTCTGAAGCTCTGCATGGTCTCAGGCAGGCTCCTCTTTATAGCTATGGTCCAGGAATTCTGGCATTTTTCTCACCCCCAAAATTGTATAGTTGGTGACCAGTGAGGCATATGAAATTAAGTTCTAAAAGGGTTATTTTGGAAGAATAAAAAGATTATAAACGTCTTGATACTTTGTCTGCCAACGTCAACTACATTTCCATGTCTGAGAAACTCAGTTAATATTTCATTGTTCATGGATTGTTCCTGAATCTCTCCTCCACTTTATTACTGAACAGATCTACTTAGTATTAATAATGGCAAACACATAGAGCAGTTACTATGTGCCCAGCACTGTACCAAACACTTTCATTATACTGACCCAATGAATTCCGAAGTAGGTACTGTTTGTAATTCCTTTTTTAAAATAAGGATATGAGGTATAGAAAGATTAAGTTCCCAAAGCTACTAAGTGACAGGACCAGGATTCAAACCCAGACAATCTGGTTCCAGAGCCCCCTCTTAACAGTCATGCTCTATTCCCTCTCAGATAATGACCAGCCCCGGATGTGGGCTCCATCACGTCAACCCCTATCATCTAACACACACGCACAGTAAGAGAAATGTACTCATTCCAAGAAATACACTCATACATGCATCTCAATATCCTTCAAAGTAAAGTCGTGCCACTGCCTCTGGAAGGAAGCTGAAGGAGACGACGGGGGTGTCGGGCGAGGGGAGAAAGGACAGCTGGCTGGTGGATTAGGCTGGTCCCACCTAACCGCAGGGGAGTGATGCGGGAGCTGTGCCTGAGATATGCCCGAGCCAGCCTGAGCCCACTTCCTTCTGAACAGGATGATGTGGGAACTCCCATCTACTCCTGTGCAAAGTCATATGAGCAACCCAAGGCGGCCCATTCCAGCCCAACAGTTAGATGGAGAGGACGGGAAGAACTGAGCAAGGCAGGCATCCATCAGCACTCCCTTTGGGCAGCTTGCAGACCTCCAGGTGATGAAGAGGTTCTGGGGATTCATATCAGCAAGGCAGTAACGGTGCCTGCTCCACCACTTCATTTTCAGCCAGGCCAGCCGGAGCATGTCTCTTGACTTTCTTTTCTGCAGTCAGCCTGTGAAAACTCTCCGGTTTGAAGGGGGCTCACCTGATTAGGTTAAGCCCGCTCAGGATGAGCTGCCTTTTGCCTCCTAATGGAATATAATCACGGACCTCTCCCATCGTACCCCCAAGTTCTGTCCCACACAAAGGGGAAGGTATTATATCTAGGCAAGGGTCACGGGGATGGTCCTAGAGTTCTGCTCCACCACACTGGATTCTCTGGGTTTTAGACTTTCCTCTTAATGATTTTCTGTTACATTTCTATAATTTAAAAAATCCTATTCATAAAAACCTGTGGAAAAAAACAATGTAGTTACTACATTCACCCATATTATCGAGTACCCCTGTCCCCACTGCAGTCACTGTCCATCAGTGTAGTTAAGATTTGGCCTTTCTTTTTATAATTGTGTTGGTAACAGAATGTGTAATGCAGTTTCTCAAGCTGCAGGCCATAGACTTCTTTGTCTCCGTGGAAATGTCCTTTAGGGCCCCTAAGACTGTAAGCTACTACAACATTTTCGAAACTTTGACTGTAATTAAGAAACACATTTTACATTTCTACCTAGTAAAATGCACCCTTATGAGGAGATGCACTCTGAAATCAATATAACATTCATTTTCTTAAGTATTGCTTGTGACCCAGTAACACGTTTTCCCAGCCCGTGATGGATCACCACCTGGAGTGCAGAACACTGCTCTAGAAGGGAGGCTCTGTGTCTCCACTATGCTTCGGTGTGTGTGAGCCATATGATGAGCCGGCAAGCCACTTCAGAGCGCTGACAATCCCAGACACTTACACCAGACTGTGGGTAAGAGTTATGTTTGGGCTATCTTTGTAATCTACAGGATTTAACCAAAACAAATACTTAAGTACATACTCTGTAAGAAACTAAAAAATTGTATATTTAAACCTCTTGATGCAACTTCCTAATGAAACACAAAGAGAAATCATTTCCCCAAAACCCTGAAGCTTAGGAATCTGCAAGGTCAAGAGCAAACAGATGTTAAAGTCACAAAAGATCACTAATGAAGGGGATAGTATGGTGAGGAATGTAAATCTGTTATTAAAGTCACCCGGAAAAGTGAGCTAGGTCCAGAAAGGAAACAAACAGGAGCAGACTTGTGTAGAGACTTAGATGTGGAGCCAAAAGCCATGTCTACCATTCATATTCTGTTTGACACCAGGCTACTTACCTGAACCTTAGAATCATTTGCAAAATGAGATGGATACTGGCCTTTGAACTACTTTACAATTTGTGAGGATCAATTAAGAAAGTTGTAAAAGTGCTTTATAAAGCATTATGCAAGTTATCATTTGAAGACAGTGCCATGGCTAAGTAGCATGGACTTCAAATTACGGCATGGTGATCCAAAAATGTGAAAGTGGCTTTAGAAGAATGATGGCTGAGGTCTTTTTGGGACAGGATTCTGGGAGTGCAGTGACTTCAGTGGAAGGCTAAGTTCCAGGTAGGCCAAGAGCATGGGAAAATAGCACAATCAAAACCATGAGATTACTACTTTATATCCACTTGGATAGCTACGATAAAAAAGATGGACAACAACAAGTGTTGGTGAGGATGTAAAGAAAAAAACAACAAGTGTTGGTGAGGATGTAAAAAAATTGGAATCCTCATGCATTGTTGGAGAGAGTATAAAAGGGTGCACCACTTTGGAAAAGCTTGGTGGTTGCTTAAAATGTCAAACATTTACTAAATGACCCAGCAATTTTACTAGTTATATATGCAAGAGAAATATATGTCCACACCCTCCTACACTGTTGGTGGGAATGTAAATTGGTTCAACCATTGTGGAAAGCAATATGGAGGTCCCTCAAAAAAATAAAAAATAGAAATACCATTTGCCCCAGGAATTCCACTCCTAAGAATTTACCCAAAGAAAACAAGATCCCAGATTCAAAAAGATATATATGCCCCTATGTTAATCGCTGCACTATTTACAACAGCCAACATATGTAAGCAACCTAAGTGTCCATCACTATACGAATGAATAAAGAAGATGTGGTACATACACACAATGGAGTATTATTCAGCCATAAAAAGAAAAGAAATCCTACCATTTACAACAACATGGATGGAGATAGAGGGTATTATGCTCAGTGAAATAAGGCAGGCAGAGAAAGACAAGTACCAAATTACTTCCCTCATTTGTGGAGTATAACAACAAAGCAAAACTGAAAGAAAAAAACAGCAGCAGAGTCACAGACTCCAAGAAGGGACTAGTAGTTACCAAAGGGAAGGGGTTGGGAAAGGTGGGTGGGGAGGGAGAAAAAAAAACATATGTCCACACAAAAACTTGTATATGAGTGTTCATTGAAGCATTATTCATAATTGCCCAAAATGGAGACCCAAGTGTCATTAACTGATGAATGGATAAACAAAACATGATACAGTCACACAATGGAATACTATCCAGCAGTAAAAAGGAATGAAGTACTGATATGTGCTATAAATGAATCTTGAAAACATTATGGGAAATCAAAGAAGCCAGTCACAAATGTCACATACTGTATGATTCCATTTACATAAAATGTTCAGAATAGACAAATCTAGAAACAGAAAGCCTATCTCTCTGGTGTAACT